TGACAGCACTAGATAGGTCATCAAGAAGAAAGGCAACAAAGAAACAGTGGATTTAAACTATACCTTGGAACAAATACACTTAAAAGATATTTACAAAACATTCACAGAACATATATTACAACAATGACAGAATATATGTTCTATTCATCAGCACATGGAATTTTCTCCAAGACAGACCATATGATAGGCCATGAAACAAGTCTCAATAAATTTAAGAAACACAACAGAAGAAAAGAATTAACCAAGATCAGAGAAGAACTAAATGAAAATGAAACAAAAAAATACAAAAGATAAATGAAATAAAAAGCTGCTTCTTTGAGAAGATAAATAAAATTGATAGACCGTTAGTAAGGTTATCACCGAAAAGAGAATCCACATAAGCTCAATTAGAAACAAAATGGGAGATACTACAACTGACACCACAGAAATGCAAAAGATCATTTCAAGGCTACTATGAACACATTTACATGCATAAACTAGAATACCTACAGGATATGGACAAATTCCTGGAAAAATAGTCACCCTCCTAGCTTAAATCAGGAAGAATTAGATGCCCTCAACAGACCAATAACAAGCAGAGAGATTGAAATGGTAACAAAAAATTAGCAACAAAAAAGTTCAGGACCAGACAGATTCATAGCTGAATTCTATCATTCAAAGAATTTGTTCCAATCCGATTGACACTATTCCACAAGATAGAGAAAGAGAGAATACTTCCTAAATCATTCTATGTAGCCAGTATCACCCTAATACCAAAATCAGGAAAGGACATAACCAAAAAAGCAAACTACAGACCAATATTCCTAATCAACATAGATGCAAAAATCCTTAACAAAATGCTAGTTAACTGAACCAAACGACATATCAAAAAGATAATTTACCATGATCAAGTAGGTTTCATACCAGGGATGCAGGGACAGTTTAACATAGGCAAGTCAATAAATGTGATGCGCCACACAAACAGAATTAAAAACAAAAATTGCATGATCATCTCAATAGATGCAGAAAAGGCATTTGACAAAATCTATCATCCATTTATGATTAAAACTCTCAGCAAAATTGGCCTACAAGGGACATACTTCAATGTAATAAAAGCTATCTAGGACAAACCCATAGCAAACATAATATTAAATGGGGAAAAGTTGAAAGCATTTCCTCTTAGAACTAAAACAAGACAAAGATGCCCAGTCTTACCACTTCTCTTCAACATAGTACTGGAAGTCCTAGCCAGAGGAATCAGACAGGAAAAAGAAATAACATCCAAATCGGTAAAGAGGAAGTCAATGTTTTCTGATGAGGTGACTGTAACATAGAAAACCCTAAAGGATCCTCCAAAAAGCTCCTAGAACTGTTAAAAGAATTCAACAATGTTTCTGGATACAAAATTAATGTACACAAATTGGTAGTTCTCCTATATACCAACAGCGACCAAGCTGAGAATCAAATAAAAAACTCAACCCCTTTTAAGATAGCTGCAAAAAAATTAAAATGCTTAGAAATATACCTAACTAAAGAGATGAAAGACCTCTAAAAGGAAAATTACAAAACACTGCTGAAAGAAATTATAGACAACACAAACAAATGAAAACACATCTCATGCTCATGGATGGGTAGAACCAATATTATGAAAATGAACATACTGCCAAAAGCAATCTACAAATTCAGTGCAATTCCCATCAAAATACCACCATCACTCTTCACAGAACTAGAAAAAACAATACTAAAATTCATATGGAGCCAAAGAAGAGCCCACATAGCCAAAGCAAGACTAAACAAAAGAACAAATTGGGAGCATCACATTACCTGATTTCAAACTATACTCTAAGGCCATAGTCACCAAAACAGTATAATACTGATATAAAAGTAGGCACGTAGGCCAATGGAAAATAATAGAGAACTCAGAAATAAGCCCAAATATTTACAGCCAGCTTATCTTTGAAAAAGCAAACAAAAAAATGAAGTGGGGAAAGGACATCCTTTTCAACAAATGATGCTGGTATTATTGGCAAGCCACATGTAAGAAAACAAAACTGTATCCTCATCTCTCACATTATACAAAAATCAACTCAAGATGGATCAAGGACTTAAATCTAAGATGTGAAACTATAAAATTCCAGAAGATAACATTGGAAAAATTCTTCTGGAGATTGGATTAGGCAAGGACTTCAAGATCAAGAACCCAAAAGCAAATGCAATAAAAACAAAAATAAATAGGTGGAGCTTAATTAAACTAAAGAGCTTTTGCTTGGCAAAAGGAATAGTCAGCAGAGTAAACAGCCCACAGAGTGGGAGACAACCCTCACAATCTATACCTCTGACAAAGGACTAATATCCAGAATCCATGACAAACAAAAACTTAGAAATGTGAGAGGAAAGCAACATAGGGGTACAGATGTAGAGGAGCCAAGATCTATCTAATAGTAATTTTATGGCTAAACAGTGAAAATGATCAAACTATTTGAAAAAAATCAACAGCAAATTATATTGAGCCAAAAATGAGAATCTAAATTAGAAGGTAAAGTCAGAAGACTTTGTAAAGAACGTCTCCAATATAAAAATAGTCATGACATAAATCTACTAAAGACCGGAAAAACTGATTATAACATACTGCTTCTGAAATGAAGACATACATCCCTTCTGATTCAAAAAATGATGTGGTCGTATAAGACTGGGAAAAATAAGTGTCCCATGAAAAAGTTTATGTCTAGGTGAAGAGTGTTGTGCCGTTTTTTTTTTAAACAATAATGGGAGGTAGGAAACAATACTGCCCTAAAGAGTAGACAAAATTGTCATTTTTCAAGTAATTCACGACAGAAATAAGCCCTCTTTGGGTTTCTAACAGGTACTATCCATCAGAAGGTAGATTTTATTTGCTAAAATGATTTGTGGTATTTATAAGATATTTTGCTTACAGGTGTACCTTTTACTAATTTCTCTTGGAAAATTGTCATAGGCATAGGAAGAGTTTAAATTTTGATTTCTTATTTTAGAAAAAAAGTTTGTCTTAGCATAAGACATAATTGATTATACTCATTTTTATGAGACAGTTGACAAAGTATTATAGTCTGGAAGTCCAAAATTATACAAGTTAAAATAAATTACAAAAAAACCTGAATGCTTTTCATGATCTGTTTTTAACTTGAAAAGAGTTTTTTTTTTTTTACAAATTAAAACTTTGAAGATTCCGTTACTACAAGTGTGGCAGTTTCTTTGGTTTTAGTTTATTTTACTTGCTATTAAAATTAAGTGAAATAAAATTCAATAATCTTCTTATTTAGAAAAAGTTAAATGATTATCTGTGGTTAATAGAATTGCAGCATTTCCTAATTTTTTCTATGTATTTATGTATATTTTCTCTTTTTCTTTCATCTACCTTGAATCTTATTATGTCCTGATTATTTTGAAGGCACTGTAAGGTTAAACAATGGCCTGATATGTATCCTATTTATCTTTGAGGTATTCATTGCTTGTTGGACAAAATTGGCTATGCCTCTTATTCTCTTCTTCTTTTCTCCATCTTCAAGATGGTAATAATATTATTAATATTGTTTCCTTTATTGGAGTTCATTGAATATCAAAACCATGACATAATAATTGTTGAAAAATTATCATCACTATAAGGACAAAAGGAGCCATTTCTTTTCACTTATTGAGTCTTAATACCAACTTTACTCATTGTAAAAACATGTCATGCTTGGACACAAGGATCTACTAACTCAAAGTACAGCCTTGCTGCAGCAGGACACGAATAAAATAGGAAAACTTATCAAATAGCCCACAATTTAGTTTACTATATATCACTGCCCCTTTTAACTTTTACTTCTCCCCAAAAATGAATGAATGAATAATGAATGAATGCACAAGCAAATGAATCAAAATAGGAGTTTGAGTGTGATCTGTCTATCAAAGCTCTCTATGTATGCCAGCATGCAATATGTGTAGATGTCCAATATTTGGAAAGCATTAGACTGGGAAGTATCTTCCCTAAACTAAGGGGAAAAATAGCATTGGGGACATTATAATATCTTTTGAGTCTTTATGATAGAAGCTTATCTGGATTTCAACTAGATCAGATTAAGTGACCACATGAATTGCATGCACTGAAAGCTGACGAACTATTTAGATATAGACCAACAAATATCACATAAAAGAATGTATCATATAAATTATATTTTATGGGAGCCTAATACAATTTATTTTCTGATAGTGATGATTGCTAAATGAATTTCCAAGGACGCTGGTGATACTGGGTAAAGTTGAACCCCACAGTATTCAGCATAGATTCACTTTCACTCAGATAACTTGGCATCCTGTGATCACTTATAATATTTAGGGATCCCCAGTTACTGGAGCAAATTTACTTTTGCATTTGCTATTCCCTATTCCAAGAATGCATTTCCTTGGTTATATTTGTGACCTGCTCCTGCCTTCAGGACATCTCATCAGAGAGGCTTTGACTGCCTTGTGTAATATTTCCAGTATTCTCTCACACTCCCTAATCCTTTTACCCCATCCTTATTATTCTCCAGAGCACTTAGGACCACCAAATATGTGTGTGCTTCTTGGTTTATTGGATTTTTAAAAATATTTTTTTAAGACAGGGTCTCACTTTGTCACTCAGTCTAGAGTGCAGTCACACAACCATAGCTTCTGCAGCTTTGATCTCTGAGCTCAATGATCCTTCCACTTCAGCCTGCCAAATAGCTGGAACTATAGTCCACACCACCACACTCAGCTATTTTTTTTACATTTTTTGTAGAGATGGGGTCTTGCTATGTTGCCCAGGCTTGTTTATTGCTTACTTATCATTGTTTATTTTCCCACAAGAATTTAAGCTCCCTGAGAGCAGGTATATTCACTTTCTTTTCTCTATTTCCTTGCATAAGGTAAACACCCAATAAATAATTGCTATATCAATGAATGACATCAATGACTATCTTTTTTATTTTTTATTTTTTTTACTTTAAAGCAAATACATATTTTGGGAGAGGCTTGAAGTTGAAAAAAAATATCAACATTTGCTACTGTTCAGTAGTTCCGGGAAAAATTGGCATTGTAGTAACTGCTAAAAAAACTTTTAGCAGAATCACAGAAAAAGCCATACTGACAAAAACTAACAAATCGAAGTTAATATTAGGAGCCTTATTCATCTCTCTTAGGAGATCTGAAGAGTGATCCTGACAAGATGGTCCATGCCAGCCGTAATAGCAGTGACACACAAATCCATTCTTCATGTCTGTTATTGTCTTCTCCTTACTGTTTTTAGAAATGACGAATCTGAAGCTCTTATTTAGAACATATTTCTTACCACTGCTTTCAGGCATATGCAGATAGAAGGAGGACTCAGGTGTTTTTCGAATACATCTTCCATGACTGTTACATAGACTCTGACTACAGAACTTAGCTGCAGATGTCACATTCACAGCATAATGGCCCAAAGGCCCTTGGATAGATTGTTGCACAGATAAGCAGTTCTCCTGTAGGAAAAACAGAAATTCACTTAAAGCACTCTCAAACTGTGATTCCATTATCCAGGTAGTATTAACGCCTGAAGTTTTGTATTTGGTAAGGCAGAGGAAAAACAGCATTTCTGTGGATTAGTTATTTAAATGAAGGACTAAGCCTCTATAGGGTCACATGAGTAATGATCTGTGCCTTTAATTGGGAAAACTATGACCCAACCAAATTCATACCATTTCCAAGGGAAGATGACCCCACAGTGTCCCAGTAGAGACTGTTCCCTAATGTAAAGATACATTTGTAGTAATATTTTTAAAAGATGTCAGTAATATGGGGATGATTTGTTAAAATTTAACTTTAGTTGTGAAACATTTTCAGTGCTGCTACTCAATATATTTTAACATTAGCCAGATTTTTCAAAACCTACCAAGTCATCCTATTATTCTTCGTACCTCTGAAGAGGTAACAGTTCTCCTAAAGTTAGTGAGTAGTCTTCTCACTTACGTTTTTATAACTTTCCTAGAGGGTTGTGTGTGTGTATGTGTGTGTGTGTGCGTGTGTGTGTGTGTGATTATGAACTATAGGTAGTATTATTTTGTGCTTTTTAAACATGTACTTAAATATATACCATGTAGGATATTTTTGCAATTTGTTTTTAGAACTTAACATTTTCCATTTTTTTAAGATGATACATGTAGCATTTTTTCATTTTAGTTGCTGTTTAGTATTTCAGAAATATAACATACTTTACTTATCCATCAGTCAGTTTTTGGGAGGTAAAATATAAACGATTATTATTTACAATCAAATGCTAGTGTTACTTTTACATAGTATATACAGTCCAATGATAGTAGGTAAGAATGTCTTCCCAAAAGTCTACCATTGGGTATTTCACTAATGTGTACATAGCATTGGCTTTAACTCTAGGACACATTTCTACAGATTAATGATCACACTATGCAGCCAGGATGGGCAAGCATAACTGAAATGATGTTATCAGCTAACCCAGAAGAGCCTGGCTGGAATCTTGATAAATGCTTGCCTTGATCCATAGAGGTAGGACCATGGAAAAATTCTAGTAGATTAATAAGTAACATAAATTGAGCTTTCTATTAGCATTTAATTATTTTATCAATATTAAAACTAATGCATAATTTAAAACCAATTAAGTTTAGAATAATGGGATATTTTCTCAGTGAGAGGAGGCCACAGAACTGTGAATACAACTGGTAAAGATTTGGGAGATTCAAATTGAAAGTCACAAGGCAGAATAAAGCTCTTAATTGACAGGTAGTTTAACAAGGCCAGCACTTTGGCAATAGCAAATTCTGAAGATCATGTAAGCAACATTATTTGTTACAGGAACATTCAACCTGGGGCGGCCTCCTTCTATATTTAGAAACACATGCTGTTTTTAGCCAAGACAAGACTCCTTGTCTGAGGCATCTGAGGAGACTTCTAGGAAAGACACAATAAAATAAAACAGGCAAACAATTGAAGTAAAGGAAAGAAGGAAGGGGCAAAGGGGGCTGGGAAGGAAAAAGAGGAAGGAAGAAAGAGCAACCAAGAAAGAAAAAGGTTGGGAGGAGTCAGACAAAGACAGCATCGAACACTGGCAAATGTAATCAACTTCAACTTGGGCATTACCTGTTCTGTCGCAGCCTTCCTCCTTGAAATACCTTCTTCACTTAGCTTCCGGAATAGCACATCCCTGTTTTGTCCCCAACCTTACTAGATGTTCCTTCTCGGTCTTCTTTACTGGCTCCTGTTCATCTTTCCTTCCTAACATTGGAGTGCCCTCAGCTTAACTCTTAAACCTCTTTTCTTCTACAGCTATACTCTTTCACTGGATAAACTCATCCCATCTCATTACTTTAAATACAGCCCCAAATGTATATCTGCGAGACCTTATCCCTGAATAGATTTTATACCCCCCTATTTACTTGACATCTTTACTTGACATCCCTACCTGGATATCTTACAAGCATTTCAAACTTAACATACTCCAAATTAAGCAACTGACCCTCTTCCCAGACTCCCCCATCTCAGCATAAGCCAATTCCCTCTCTACAGAAGCCTCAGGGGCAAAAGCTTGGAGTCATTCTTCACTCCTTTTTCCTCTTACATTTAATCCATCAGCAATTCCTTTTCCATCTACTTTCAAAATACATCCAGAATTTAACCCTTGCTACCATTCTGGTTCAGGTCACCATTAGCTCTCACCTGGATGATTACTTCCCAACTAGTCTCCCACAATCTGTTCTAAATACAGTAAGTGTACATATGTTTCTCTCCATAATTAAATAAAATTCTAGTTTTTTACAGATTAAAATACCCTCCCAAGTAGTAATTTGATCCAAACAGAAATTTGTTTTGTTACAATTTCACATTAATTAGAAAAATACAGACAACTGTAATACAACATGTTAAAATGTGTTAATACATCCAAAGTACTTTTCAGTGTTAAATGCATAGTTATAAATGATTTTTTTGACAGGGCAATCCAATTATCATACCAGAAACAAGGCATTTTGGCATTGACTTTCACCTGGACTCCCATTCAGCTACACAGCAGTGCACAGTGGTAGCTGATGGGGTATTGAGTGGCATGCTTTCCACTTACACTTTAGTCTATGCTTCCTGCTCCCCCAACTCTCTGCATCCTCTCAGTCACTTTTCCACTCTTCTAAGCTCCACCTTAGTTGCTACCTGCTTCATTGAATCAGTGCACTTACTATCTCTATCTCATTATCAGAAGCTGGTCGCCAATTTCCTAGCACCCAGCAAGTGACATTTTACCCATTATGGCAAACTTTCTTGAACTTTAGTGCATCTGGAGCTTGTAGCTAGCTAAATTTCTAAAATTAGCTCCTAATTTTAAACCTTTATCTAAAGAAATATGCACCTTTTTGTGGAAGTTTGTCTTCTACTCTGTCTTTGGATCTGAAAAAATGTTCTAACATTTTAAAGCAACTAATACTAAATGCAAAAGTAACACTTTTTACTGAAATATGCCTTTGATTATTTAACATAGAGGAATAAAGTAATAAATTAAGTATTCAATTCAAGAAGTTAAAAAAATAATTTTTTAGAAAGAATCTCATGAAAGGAAATTAAAAGTTAAAAGTATAAATTTATGAATTGGAAAACTGAATTGATAAAGAGTAGGTCTTCAAAGAAAGAAAACCATCAAACATTTATATCTGACAAGCCTAACTAATCAAAAAAGGAAGAAAAATAAACATGAATGAGAAAAAAATAGAGTTAAAGCTTCAGAGGTAAATGTTTAAATTGTAAGTTAATATGGTATATATATGTTTATGCTACTAAATTGGAAGTTTGGTGCTAAATTTAAAAACTAGTATCAAGAGATAGAAAACATAATTAAAAGGGATCATCAAATTAGAGGAAAGACTTACTACCACCAAAAAGTTTTCTAAATCGAAGTATTTTTGTGTTTTGGTTATTTGCAACTTTTAAGGATTAGATAATTTTCAAGTCATAAAATTGTTCCAGAGCATAAAAAAAGAAAATGAAAAGTTGTCTAATTTCTCTTTAAAGCAATATAACCTTGATATAAAAACAGAACAAAATCACAGGCCAGTTTTACTAATGAATGTAGATGACAAATCTAAGTTTAGCCCCAAACCTCAAATGGCTGCATGGGTGGATAAGGAACTGGCATGAAACTCCATATAGTGGAGACATCTACCTTTCAGAAACAGTGAAATCTGGGCAATCAGCTACACATCTTTGAGTTTTCAAGACATGTTTTAAAGCACTTCATTTTGTGATGTTGTTTTTTTTTCTACAATGGGATGTGGGCAATACAAAACACATCTCATGCTAAATTTTTTGTGCACAACCCCCATGTTTGTTATTTCAGATCTATATAAATACAATGAGGTTTATGTCTATAAACCAGGAGTTAGCCAAAATACAAAGTCTCAGTACACAGTCCTGTGCAAGATCACCCTCACTTCTGACGTTGGCTGCAATGTAGCTGCACAGGATTCCCTAGATCAACTTCAATTTCAATGATTCCCTAGAAGAATTCACTGAAAGCTATTATACTCATGGTTATGTATTAGTACACTAAAAGGATACAGATAAAAATAAGCCAAAGGAAGAAATGCATAGATGAAAGTCTGGGATAATTCCAAATGCATAGCTCTCTCTGTTCCCTGCCATGGAGTCAGTACCCTTCCAACACTAATGTGTAACAATACAGAGTATTGCAATCAGGGAAGTTTGCCTGAGCTTCAGTGTCCAGAGTTTTTATTGTGCCTTTATTACAGAGCCATAATTGACTGATTGACTAAGTGGTTGAACTCAGTTTCCAGCTCATTGATAATGCATGGTCCAAAGCATCCACCCCATTGTTTTACCCTTTGTGACATGGTTGGTTCTTCTGTCATAGTCAGCCCTCATCATAAAACTATTAGAAACTATTAGGTGTGACTATATCCACCCTAAACAAAGATACCCCAAGATTACCACCAAGAAGCCATGGACAAAGGCCAGATCTCTCTTTGGGCAAAGTCAGATTCTTTAAAACCATTGTCTCTCCATCTCACTACCATGCCGTCATCTAAAAATCAAATTTGGAGGACAAAGTTGTGATTGTTTTACTTTAAAAATAGGTTATATGGTGGTACAAAGAAAAACAAATGTTACTTTGTGGAATCCTAGAAGATACCTAAAAGAAATAAACATTTATTCTCCATAGCAGCAGAAACCCACAGCCTGCAACTTAACATATTAAGAAACTGTGAGTACAGGGAATCATCAGTGGTTTCTGATATGAGCATTAAGGTGAAAATCCAAAGTGGAATATTCCATATAGCAGATGTTGGTTTATAATAAAGTTTATTTTCACATGGTCAGCTACATGAAGCAGAAGACATTTATGTATCTCGAGTTTTCCCAGACATCACTGAATAATAAAGATAATGTGTATACATGCAAATTTTGACATAAGAAATTTTACTGTTTAGAAAGGGAATAGCTCCATTAA